GGGCTCGCCGTCTCGTTTGGGGGCTCGCTGCGTGCGACGGCCGAGAGTTATCAGCGCTGATGCTTCGCTCCCGCTCTCTTTCTCCCCGAGCTAGCGATTTGTCCATGTTACGGGTAGGTAAGCTTGACAAAGCGTTGCGCATTAGCAGCCGAGATGGTGCTCGGAAGGGGAAAATTGCTAGCAAGCTGCTCCATTAGAGACCCGAGTAACAAATTCTTTCTCTCCCTCGATGAAGGAGAGATAGTTAAGGCCCAAATTAATACGGCTGTCTCCCTCGCTCTGCGCGGGGCATCGCTCTTCGAGACAAATGGCTTCGCCCCTCCTAAGAGGGCGACCTGGCTCTCGGAAAGCTGCGTTGGGCGGAGGTGTCGTCCTTTGTGTTTTGCCATCCGGGGTGTGAGCAGCACAGGCGCCAGCCGGGGAGGTGATGACAAGATTTGTACCTCGGTGACCCCTGAGATGGATTAGCATGGGAATTTGAGTGCTCCTTCTTTGCTCTGCGATCGTTTGTCATATTTAACTGGATCATTTTCCCTTGTTTTTCTCTCTGCTGTGTTTATTCTTTGCTCTCGTTGCTGTAAAGCCATTTGGAAAAGAGTGGGAAGGAGAAGGGCTTTATCCTGCAGATCGTCGCGCTCTTGCGAGAAAAACGTATCCGAATCCAGCAGGCCCTCTGACTTTCCGATCTCTGATGATACGTTAGAGAGGAGAAAGGAAAATGTGCCTGTCCTTTGATGCTGTTGTTGAAGCCTCTGCAAGGAGGCTCCCGGAGGCAGGAGACGTGCCCCAGCAGAGGAGGGGAGAGGTGCTTGAACGGGTCCGAGTGACCCAGCCGGCAGCGAGGGACGCGGCGGGGCGGCTGGAAGCAGGAGCAAGAGCCCCGGAGAGCCTTGAACACAGGCAATGTGTTTCATCAGTCTTCTGAATTCGACGTGTTGACTCTTTTAAACAGATCTTATGAAATACCAGAGGACGGTCGAGGAGAATTTTATTGAGTTATAAGAAATGTAAGATGTGGAGGACAGTAGTTCAATGGAAATTTACTCTTTGGGGACTGTATTTTGTACAAAGTTCTTAAATGCTTTGTAAAATTAAGTTTCTGTATATTCCTGTGATACACAAAAATTCAGCTCGCCGATGTTTCTTTGCAGTTGGTTTATAGTGTTTGACAGCACTTCCCAGCATGCAGGGTAGAACATGAAAAATGCAGTTTTCCAGAGGTCGTGTTCTGGATGAACTAGATAAACGTAATTCTTTTTGAAATACAGATTAGCCTTTCACTTTCTGCAGAAAAAAAAGGCAAGACTAGGACAAAAATTTTCCCTTTATTTGAAAGCGGCAGCGTTTCCCATTATATCCTGAATAACACTGGTTTATAATTAAGCCTTCGTCACCTTGAAAATGCCGACACCTGTTCTGGCAAAACCCAGTGTTTCCGAGAGGTTTCCAATGCTGTGCTGGCTTTAGCGTGTCATTTATGAGGTCGCACTGGGTAACAGCAAAAAATGCTAATCTCAATAATTTGTATTCACTGTCTTAATTGCGTAGCTGCGGTGTGATTTTCAGCCTACCCATGCCAAACCATAACATGCGTTTACGGGTAGCAAAACTGTAGTCAGGTTAGTACTTTGGACTTTTTAAGAAGTACCTGTTTATTTAATGCTGCACGTTATTTAGCAGGCCACGGCCGGCGTCGGAAGGTACCTGAGAGCCGACCCTCCGAGAGCAGCCTGGCGCAGGACGCTGCCCCTTGCTGCTGCGACGCGTTTGCAAATGCCGCGTGCCTGAAATTTCCGTGCAATTTTGAGCAATTATGAAATGGGGCCAAGTTTGCACCCTGCGGCTTTATTTGAGCTGCCCTGTAGGGATCGCTGGGCGCCGCGTGTGACGCCCCAGGTCGTGTCCGTAAGGCAAGCCCTTTGTCCGTGGAAGTGTCCGCGCAGAAAAGCTTGGGAGGAGCGAAACAGCAACCTGGCAAGCTCACAAAAAGCCCTTCTGGGAAGAGCACGTGTATTGCTTATTCTGGTGACGAACCCGCAACAATACTGGTGCGCTGAAGCTTACGGCAATTTGCGCTTCACTGGGGGCTTGCCAGAAATGAGGCACGTTATATTCAGACCAAGCGGAAGGGAAATTTCAGCCGCTAATTCAAATCGCAGAACAAGGAACAGAATTAACTCTGATCACAACCTTTAAAATAGACTGCTAGAGAAATGAAGCAAGAGACTGTACGCATTGACTGTGCAAGCATCAGAATATTCATGGTTTAAATAGCGTCTTGGACTGTAACTGACCTGGCAGGATATCTTACTTTCACGGGGATTTTTCCTTTGCCTACCGAAGGCGCAGATCAACAGAAGGATATGCGGTGCCATAGAGGGCTGATGGACCTTACGCATTTTCCCTCCGTTCTTCCTAAATCATTTAAAAAACAAGACCGACTCCTCAGAGCCTCTCATTTTAACTCCGTTCACAGTTTTAAAGTGTTCTTTCTCCCCTCCGCCCTGTTGCAGCGGCTCTAAATGACGCGGGTGATTCGTTCCGTCACTCCAGTGTTCTGATGTTTTTATATGTCAACCCTGTGCCATTTTTAACCAGAGGATTTTGCAATTAGAACTGCTTCTTTTTATGAAAAATTTGGAAAAAAAAAAAACGCGAGCATTGAATAGTAAGTAAGAGCTAGGTAAAATGCAGTCTTGCTTTCAGTTCTAGCCGTGACTGTAGCATGCTGGCTGCCGTGGTCACGTGAATTTGTTGCGTGAGGGTCCACTTTTGCACCTCTAATAGAGAGGAGTATTTAGGGTTCATGTGAGGAGAAGACAGTCCTTTCAGCAGGGTTTTTTAGGAACTTGCTGACAAAGACTTGAAAATACTTATGTGAAGGAATATAAATGGATTTTAATGTTTACTGTATTCTGTATCTTAAAGCTATTTATGTTTTATGTTACTGATACATGCGCCTGTGCTAGTTTATAAAGGATAGTTCTTTCAAAACAGCTCTCAGCAGTGAAAACAAAAGCATTTTGGTTCAGCCTGGATCATATTTTAGAACCCCTTCACTACTTGTTGGTTAAAATTGGAAGATACAGTCTTTGACCCTTTATTCTGATGTAGATTTTTTTCCCCCTGAAGGGCATTAAAAATCTGACCTCATGTTGCAATGGATTCCACTTTGTTTCACGACAGCTTTGTTAGTGCCAGTTGTGCATGTAGGGAGGCAACTTTGGCATGTGCCCACAGATGATTACTCCTGAGTCACTCTGGGAGTATTATTAATCTGCTTATTAAGCTGCCACAACATAGCACAGCCTTCAGTGTTGATCGTTACCTTCTGTTTACAACAGCTAGTCAGGGAAGTTACCTATATTTTCTACCTTAGCTTTGACTAAGTAGTAATACAGTATACTTCAGATTTTTTTTTTTATTAATTCCATGAGCTTTAAAGATGCAAATTCTACAGCTTATGGCTTTTTTCCATATAGATTTCATGTAGTCAATGAGATTAATTTCTTTTCTCATTTATTAAATTATTCTTTTCTCATATTATTAAATTACTTTCTCGCTATCTTCTCAGGTTAGCAGCTTTCAAAAGAAAAATCTATTTCACCTATAAACTCTATAAAATAGTTTTATATTTGTATAAAAATTTGTTAGAGTGTTTGATGTTATTGCTGTCTTACAACTGTGTAGTTAACATGTCTATTGCTTTGTTTGTTTTTAGACGTTTGGAACAAAACCTCATCAAAATCATCCCCCCTGGAGCTTTCACCCAGTACAAGAAACTTAAGAGAATGTAAGTTTTAAAAACAAGACCAACATGCAAGCAGTCTTGAATCTTTTACCCTCAAGTTCATTATCTTTGTTTTACAAACATATTGGCCATTTCTATGTTGAAATCAGTGAGAAATGCACAAATAATCTCTTCAAAGCTTAAGCCACGCTGGAATTTGGTCCAAGAGGTTTAACAGTGCATGAAACCCTTAATAATGCTCAGATGCACTTACTGTTATAGACAATGTGAACTAATTAGTTGTTACTCCATCTAAGCTTTGAATCCAGTTCCCCCGAAAAGATTTTATGTTCTGTTCCCCCTTCCCCCCCCCCCATTCATCCTGGTGTCTGTTTGCACCACTTCAGTTTGGTTGGCACCGGTTAACAGCAAGAATACATGTTCTTGCAGAGTTGTTTGGATTTTCGTAGTGCGTTCAGTGTCCTGACATTGAAGTGGTTTGATTGTTTACAGGAAAACAGAGAAAGCTGCTGGAGCTCATTTCCTCCATGTTTTAATAACTAGTAGATGCCTAGACAATTCTTGTCTTACTACTTCTTGTATTGCTTCTCTGGATTAAAAAAAAAAAAAATCACCTGTGGTCTCATGCAGATAACCCAGGTTAACCTAGGTGAAGAAGAACCAGACCAGAGGAAGAACCTCTGATCTTCCTCCTTTCTGTTTTTTATTTTTAAGTGATATATGAGAGATGTTGTGACAATAGTACTGTCGTACAGATAATGGTAAAATGAGTTACTCCTGCTTCACTGTCCTATCAAAATGTAAATGTGTACTTTTGGACCAGTAACTTGCGGAAATGAGAGAAGTAATTCAGTCTTTGTAGCTCATTGCTAACGCTGTTCATAAAGGTGCCTGAAGAGTTATTTTCTGATGTGAACAATACTGGAATTAAGAAACTGTCAGCTCGTTTCACAGGAGCCTTGGGATCATGAGAGAGCTAATGCTTTTGGAAACTGAAATAAGCTGAGCTGTACCATTGGCTTTAGGAGTAAAATTACTGTGTTTGCCAGTCCAAAGTCATCCAGTTCCTAGAGCTGAAGAGCTGTAAATATGGATCTTAATATTTAACAGGTCAAATCATCAATCTCGTAGAGTCTCTGTTCTTCTGTCTCACTTTCAATATAGCTGTATGTATTTTTAAAGACGTACTATATTAGATAGCAAGACAGTAATTTCAGTGAGTAATGACAGATCCCTTTTCAGTGACCTAACTTTGGACTCTTTCATTATTAAAGTCACTACTTCAATTCTTTCCGAGGTGTAACTAATTTTAGATTTTGGCAATGTTTTACTGTCCTTTCAGTCTTCATGATTGGTGAACTCTAGTTTTATGGGACTTGACCAAAAAAAGATCTTTAACTTGACTGGCTGCTCAGCCCAGTGTGACACTTACGTGAAATGACTGATGTTAAAAATTTACTGCAGAATTCCATTAGTGAGTTAGTTGTGTTAACAGGTTTCTGGAATACTACTGGCAGCATCATGGAGATCTGAATTCACAGTTAAATAATAAGTTATTATGCCAGCTGATCTGCATCGAAGCTTAATTAATGTGGCAGTGTTTTGTGGAAGAACTCGGGATAGATAGTTATGCTGCAGAAGGTCCCATAACAAATATGGTATTTTCCTGCCTGATTTTTGACCTGTCTCCTTGTCGTACACAAAGTTTAATTGACGGCATTTGTTCCATTATTGGAAGAGATTATTGACATCACCTTTTCAGAGCGCGAGATGTCCAGGGATATTGACACAAGAATATACTTGATCAAAAAGTTACCTCTTGAGATTTATACGTTCTTTCCCAGATCGGTAACAGCAAGACATGTTTGATATCATTGAAGCCTTCAGCTTTTCTTAATTTCACTCACTGTGATTTCAACCAGTGGTGCAATAGCATGAAGATTATTGATTTCATTAATTGATGCCCTACCCAGGGTACAAATGAAGAATTCTGTTATTGTTATTATTGTTATTGTTTTGATAGAACTCAAGGGATAATATTAGCATAACATTGTGAATCATATTATTGTATTCTGCTACTTCTGGTGAATACATATGCAAGAATGTTAGGATAATAGACTGTTCGCTTATGGCACCATCAGTTTTTTGATTGTTTACTGAGTTTTTCCACCAAGATGCTGCAATCTCCTGTTTTTAAATGACTGGATAGCTGAGATTAGTGTTTAGGGTAGAGCCACTAGTTCGGATGATCCTTATATGACTTGATGTGAGTAGGCTGAAATATTAGCAGAAGATATATTAATATTAATTCCAGTGTTAAGTTTGCATGCCGCTGGGGTTTTTTATTTAGAATGGCTCTTCAGTAGCTTCCAGGGTGCAAGAGTTACGTATGTGATTGTTTCTTGGCAAAGGATTTGAAATCTTTTGTGTGTCCTGGACTTCATCATCATTACCCGTGTCGTCTCGCACGGTGAATTACACCAAGCTAGACGTATCTGTCTCAGAAGGAGGATTTGATACCTGTAGGATTCAAATATGCAGTTGAATTGTATAGTCTGAGACAGTGGTTCCCCAGGTTTTTGAAGGACTGTGACAGTGACAGCTTCCAGCTCTGCTAGATCACCCAGGGGCTCTAGAAGAGGTTTGGGGGGCTTGAAGGAGATGCATCCCATCTCCTTCAAGGGAAAGATGGTTGGTCAGCCAAGGCTTGGAAGCTGTTGTCATCATTGCATGAAGTAACCCTGCCCAGACAGGCCATTTTGAATTCGTTTACATATCACCAGTTAAGCTTGTGCTGTAGTTCTGTACCTCCTAGCTTAGCAGTTGCAAAATGTATGGCATTCCCGGCCATTTTATCTGTGCTTTTCTGAGGCTTTTGGCAGGCAGGTTTGTAGCACAAGACGAAGAGCCAGGTACACAGAGCCACTTTGAAAGATGTGGTTGTAGCTCTCTAGCTCTGGTGCTTGATACTGTCGAACTGATTTTACCATATCTTAGCAGAAAACACACTGAGATTTCACAGTCTTCTGAGTAGCTCGGTGGTGCTGCTGCTTTTGTTAAGCAGCCCCTAAAAACTAAATCATTAGTATGACATGGGTTTTTACTGAGTACTCTTGTCAGATGAGAATAGTCCTTTTTAAATGTTAGAGATAATCAAGTAATCTGTTTCTAATAGTGCTAGTCAACATGGAGAATATTCATCCAGTGTTATTAATAGTTTTGCATTTGGCTGCATCTAAAAATAAATGTGTTTTGTTTCAAAACCTTTTACAGTAAAGATATTTCAGCCAGTGTGTTTGCCGCACAGTCATATGTGATCCAGTGACTCAGAGGGTATCCTTTCTTCCCTCCTGCAAAGTCAGCAACAATTTATGTCCCTAACCGGTAACTGAGCACAGCCACCCTCCAAGGTGTGTTGAACAGCCTTCCGAAAGAGGAAGATGTCTAGCGCGCTGGCGGGAGCATGAGGTGGCTCATGCGTTCCCTGCCTGGGTGGAATCCTGATAAGTTTATTACGTTTCTGGCTAAAGAGCTGCAGTTCCACTGAGTGATTCTTAGTGGGGCCTTAAACCATGGGAGGGAGCGGGAGCCTTGTGTGACCGAAGTCCGCTTAGTCATGCAGGTTAGAGAAACACGTGTCTATGTGGCTTGATGCAAATCAAGCACAGAATAGGGTGATCGAACCGGAGGGCAGCAGACCGTAGGAAGAGAACAAAAGTACAAGGGCATAATTGAATCTTTTTGCCTCAGTCAAGTCAGAAGGAGATGGAGCCTCCTTATCCAACAGCAATGGAGCTTAGGCTCTAATGGAAAGGAAATAATGGGTCTAATTATCTTATAATGCTGATTGTAGTGCAGCTGCATGGAGAGGGTGAGTGTCATCAGCCAGCACGACATTTATGCAAGTTCAGGCACCATTAGTTATACGCTCATTAGCATCCTGACGTGGGGAGAGAAAGGATGCAAACGTTGAAATGAGGCAAATCCGTAAAATAGTGCTGAAATGTTTGCTTCCAAAACTAAATGCCTCTTTTCAGACGCTTGTCATTGTTCAGCAAACTCATGATTTCATGACACTGTAATAGGTTCTAAATTGTTGTTCAATAAATCGATAGTAAAATCTTTATGCCAGACTTCTGCTTACATATGAATTACTAGACAAAAGTAGCAAATACTAACAGGTTTCACTAAAGATATAAAAATAAATATTTGTATTTTCACTGTCCCAAATGCAGCTGCTATGAGTTGAGCTGAAAAACCACAAACCTTCATTGAATCATGTCCTTGTAGGCAGGACGCTGCAATAGAAGACTTGAGTAGGTTCCAGAGCAGCTTTCAAGAGCCTTATAAGAGAACCAAAGAAAATCCTGCTCTATGTTGCTAGATTTGAAAACAGAGGACTTGATTAAAATTTTATCCAACATACCTCAAAACATCATCCTAAGAATTATTAATATTGGTTCATATAAGCTGAGAGTAATCCTTAAGGAATTGTGTAGAGTTTTGTTGGGAATTTTGTTTGATTTAACTATAGCATATGTTTCTGGTGTTTCGAAAGATAAAATCCTTGATCGTACTGCATCTCATTTACCACCAGGTCTCTTCTCTAACTTGGACGAACACGGTCCTGCTGCCTCAAAAGCCATTCCTCTGGTCCGTGTGCCATGCCACCTCTCTTTCAATCCCATCATATTCCTTAATGCGTGTCCTGTCAGTGCTTTCCAGCTACCTCAGAACCTCTCCTCACCTTATCTATCGTTTAATTTGTTATCAACACCTGAACTCCTATACTGTTCTGTAACATTATCTTTCCATGCCTGCTTTTAAATATTCAGGTGACCTTTGTGCTTTGTCATTGGCTGCCCCTCATGCTTGAGGCCCCCATCACAGTCACAAAGCCCCCTTCATTATCGATAGTTCTGAAGATGGTTTTATCAACGGGTTTTATTCAGTGGGCTACCTCACTGTTGTTCTTCAAAGCTTTTCATAAAACTCTTCTTTGTTTCAGCGGCCATAAAATGAAAGACCTTATCAACAGTGGCCTTCTGATGTGTTGAGGCTACCGCTTGTCGTACTAACTGATGCCTTTGGATTATTCCTGGAATTTGCTTGTTTGTCTGTGTCCTTATGCAGTTTGTAATTCCTCTGAGATAGTATGATCTTTTATTTCTACTTTTGTATAACAAAGCATCTTCTTCCAAAACCTACAGCAGTACAAATAATTACTTTAAGATGAAATACAGCATTTTCATCAATTTCCTGTTTGTGAATATTCTTTTAATTCCTCCTAATTCTTTTTCCAGAGACATCAGCAAGAATCAAATAACTGACATTGCACCTGATGCGTTCAAAGGCTTGAAATCTCTCATTTCGTTGTAAGTAGAATATAGAACTGAATGGGTGTTTGGGGAGAGCTTGCATGTAAGAAAAAGAAAAATGATAATATGCTGTCTGGGAGAACTTATGTTTCTGTGTGCAAGTGCCAGCTTGCGTGAAGCATCTAATCTTTTGTACATGAAAAATTGGTCATGAAGGCTAAAAGGAGGAACAGTTTACACAGCTCTAATAAGTTCTTTTATAGATGAACACCCTGAAGGTTGGTTACTCGTTCGCTTCTTCAAAGCCTGTGCATTAGTTTGTTCCCTGTGTCTGTTGTACACGTGCACCTGCAGGCTAGTCTGTGCCCCCAACAGCTCATACTACCTAAAAACCACCTCATAGCTCAGGCACTGGTTGGTGGAGTTAATCAGAGCGGGGCTGGGGATAGATACGCCCATACCAAAATTTTTTTCTGTATTGTGCAGGACTGAGGTTGCACTTTTTTTTTTTTTTTGGCAGGCTACTTAGGGAAGAACTCTAATGAGAAAGTTTATATTTCTTAGCTGTAATTACTACTTTATTAAGCTAGTAAGTGGATTAAATACTACTTTATACAAGTAAGCTAAGAGGAAGGTAGGATCTCTTGACAACCATTACTTTTTCCTTCTAGAAGCTGTTTGTAACACCAAGCTGAATTTAAATGCAGCTACATTTCAGCCTAGCCACTCACAGCCCTATTAAAACAGTGAAGCTTATAATGGGTAAAAGAGAGCAATACAAGGTCAGAAGCTGCATGTGGAAAATGAACTAGAAACAAGACTGTTGGAAAGAGCTCTAGGTTGGGAAAAGAGGTTAAACTCAACTGGAATTATTTTTACCTGCGTTAATTTTAAATACAGTTTTAAAACATTTACTTTTATTAATACTCGTTGAAGACAGTTTGTTTTATATAAGCACAGTTTATTTTTAAAAGCTGCCATCATTTTATTCCGTGAATACTAGGTAATATTAATAACTTGTTGCCTAGTGCTAATATTAGAAGGCTGTTCAGTGCTTAACTTATATGCTGCAGTAAACTTCTGAGGCAGCATGCAGAAAGATGGGCCTTTCACTGTGCCCTGAATCCAGCTGGTAGTACTCCAGAAAATATATATTAAGTGTTGCTAGCCTTTGTTGAATAGCTAGAGCAGTGTTATTCAGCCTACTGTGTAAAACGGTCAAATCCCTCAACGCTGTCTGGAAACAATTCAATAAGAGAATGATATTTACTGAACGCTGCAGTTTTGGCATATTGTGAAACTGCTGCTGATGCAGCAACGCTACAGCTTTCTGGTGGTGGCCAGGAGCAAGCTGGAGAGGCAAGGCGCTTCCGCTGGGATTGACCTCCCAACTCAAAGTTTTTCAGGTTTAGCTGCAAATAATACAGATACCCCCAGGGGGCCTCAGGAGTGGAGCAGAACACATTGGGGTGGACGGAGAGGAAATTAGGATATAAACTGGGCAGAAAATTTCTAGCGCTTGAACTTGCACGCAGGAGCAAGTGAAATGACTGCATTTTCTGTTCAGTCCTCCAAAACTTCTTCTAACTAAATGAGACCAGACTGGTTTAAATTCAGGTAGGTAAAATAGTGCCGAAGAAATGCTGGAAGGTGATGAGGGGGAAGAGAGAGGGCAGAGAGGTGAGATATGGCAAGGAGAGGACTGAAGGAAGGGAGCTGCCTCTGAACAGCCTGTTTTGTTCAGTCTGAGTCTCTGCCTCAGTTTCCTTCCTGCCACAGCTGGACGAAGCCATTGCAATGCGCAGTCTGTTCCTCCTCTCTTTGGCAGACTGGTTTCTAGCACAGGATCGACCCCAACCTGGAAAACGTCAGCCTCCTCCTGTATGTTCAGCTGTCCATTGCGCTCGCCGTGGGCTTTTAATTTCTTTTGAAAGATTTTACTCTTGCTGTTCGCTGCAGGTAGGTCTTAGGAGGTTTTCCCCTCCAACTGATGGGCAAGAGCTGCTTCCCTGATCCTTCATGGCCTTGTGTTCACCCAGACCTTGGGCAGGTTCCTCCCTGCCAGTCCCTTTTGTCTTTGTTTCAGTTTGTAGCCCTAAATATCTTTACGGAGCAATGCCCTGCTTTGCATACAACGCCTCAGCTCAGCTGAGAGCAACTTTTATTCTCCTTATGCGTAAGTCAATGCGATTGGCGGCGTACATTTTAATGAGACACTGGTGAGGTTTAATCTGTGCACAGAGCAGCTGGGTTTTTCAGCTAGCTGAGTTTAAAACAAAGGTAAGGGCGGGGGAAATATTAATGCACAAATGAAAGTAAGCAACTTTGTTTCCATTAAAAATGAAGCACTGCTTAAATTCCTTGCTTTCCTTTTCCTGCCGTATTCCCATTTTCGGCTCCTCCCTTGACTCCCCTGCTTGCATGCAACTGCAGTGCTCCCTATGGGTCCCAAGCGAGTGAGAGTGCTTATCTGGAAGACAGCCAATATTGTTAGCCTAGCTGGCTAATGGAGGCCTATATATATAGTAGGTTACTACTCTACTTTCTTTTGAAGTTAACTTAAGTTAGTGTTTCCAGGCAAAACTGCTTGTCAGAATACTCTGCCTATTGTACGTACGTAGAGATGAAGGAAAATATGGTGTATTACAGTTTTCAAAACCCAGGGTAATGTTTATTACAGCAGCAGATCCCACAAAATGTATAAAACTTAAATCTTTTAAAAGTGTTAAGTGATCCATGTGCTAACAGGTCATAAGTTTTTATTTTAAATCTATACATTTTTCTCAAAAAATCTCTTACCTAGGGGAGTGAAACAGGTCACAAAATCTTAACACTTTAAATAAGCCATTTCTGCCTTGGATTTTCTCTGCACTTAGTAAAAGAAAGGCAAGGTTGTTCTTGTTAGGACCCAGGATCTCCCCATTCCCAACACACATAGGAAAAAAGAATTAGCCGTTTCTCAGTGATTTTTTTGTTCCCAATGTGTATAAAGACTGTGTGGATTAAGGAATTTCTATTCCTTTTTTCTTCCTAAAAGAAAAAAGTAGGTAAACAAAACTAGGTATGATGAAAAACATTTGACCAGAAGTTCTGATTCACTGTTGGGGGAGCTTGTTTTGTTTTGTTTTGTTTTGTTTTGTTTTGTTTTCTGGTTGTGGCAACAGTTAAGGAAGAGGGGCTGTCGTCTTTAAGAACATTTGTTCTTCATCCCAGATTTTTTCTAGCTTTTCCTTCTCACCTCTGTCCTGCCACATGACGGTTGCGCCTGGGAGTCGCTGATGAGTCCTGGCTCTCTGTGTTCTGCGGATTTAATTCTGTTACAGTGTCCGACGTTCCTTTTCAATATTTTGGCAGTGAGGCTTAGATCCATAGTGTATTTTTAGTATGAAGCCAGCTTCAAAGCTGTTTCTGGACAAAACTGACCACGTAAGAGGATCCAGCCTCTACTGGAATCTGGAGCTGTGGAGAACTTGCCATGAAGCCGCCGCCAAGGGCTGGAGGAAGGACATGTCAAGGCACGAGAAATAGGGCTGTTTAGTTTCAAAGATGCCAATGTGGGTTTGGGAGGAAAAAGTTGTGTTGCATGCTTTCCGTGATAGCTGTCGGACAAATAACTACCTCTCTGTGCCAAAGCCCCCTCTATAAAATGAGGACATATTTCCCTGTCTCGGAAAGATGATACGAGGATGTACGCATGAGAAGCAAGTACTTAGAAAGGTTTGGATCTGAAAAACAGTAAGCAGCACAGATGTCAGTGAGCTGCGGTAACGTAGCCACAGCATTCGTGTTGGAAGTCTTGCCGGCTAATATTCCTCCTTGTACAAACGTGAGAGCAAATAGTATGCTTGTGGCAAGAAGCATGGCAGAACTGGTTGATTGCAGGATTTATTATGTAAACTTTAAGCAAAATTTTGAGAACTGCTTGGTCCCCGCTCTGTTACTAGTAGTATATTGTATTTGCAAGTTAAATAGTCAGGACTGAACTTTGCCTTGCATTGGAGCACTTGGTAGCATACAGTGCAGAACGTGGGCGCTGAGTTATGAACAGTTGCGTGTTTCACAATTGCTATATGCGCTTTCTGAAGTAGATTAATTTTTTGTTTAATCAACTGAAAATTAATCTTGAATATCAGTGAGGGGATTGCGTGAGATTAGTGTTTGGTTATTGTTAACACTATCAAAGGTAACAGCTATTCTTGGGGTCGGTGACCTTCTCACATGTGTATGCTCAGAAGGTCTTATCCAGACTCTCTGGGGACATTTTATGAGATAGGACAAAATAGTTGACACCTTTAGTCTGTTAAACTGTGAATGAATAAAGTTCAAATCGCTGCAGAGGGAGAATTCCTTCACTTTCCTTCCTATGCTGAATTAAGCTTGTGAACGATTTAAAAGCTTAGATCAGCTTGGGCACAGAGACAACGGACAGCTTAGATGCTGACACGGCGTTGCCGTTTAGCCCATCATCTCCTGGCTCGTGATGTATGTGGTGTCATTCCTGGTGATTTGAAATCTGCAATAAAATACTGTCTACTGCAATAACTGCCAAACTTATTTTAAAGTAACAAATTGCTTTGGATAGTTTTACTGTGATTTATTTAGCCTAACTTGCTAGGAAGAAATATGAAATAGTGTAGAGAAAACAAAATTGCATGTCTAAGTTTCTTTCAGATATTAGAAATTTATTGCTATTTTTACCCCAATCCATTCCTCCTCTTTAGAAAACTTAAATTCTTATTGAGCCTGTGCCATTGTATTCAGCTTGGGAAATATAATTCTTCCTAACAAGAATTGTTTTCACAGTCTGAAGGAAAGTTAAAAGCATTTTGAGGACTGAAAAAGCCATTGCATAAAGTCAGAATTTGACACTTCAGTAAGAATGTTTCAGCCAAGCCAAAATAAAGGAACGGTTAGCTGGAAAACATATGGTCTGGAGTGAGGGACTCAGTGTTAGGCTTTTCTGCCCCAAAAAGTTCTGAGTCAACTTCCAGGGGAAAAAAATTCTATATTCTGGGGTCTGACTTAACCAAGCAGCTAAGTTGCAGCTGCCTTTGCAT